AACCTCCAACTCCTGGGCTTAGGTAATTCTCTTGCCTCAGCCTTCCCAGTAGCTGGGACTACAGGCACCCACCACAATGACCGGCTATTTTTTTGTAGTGGTTTGGCCAGGGCTAGGTTTGAACCCGCGACCCTCAGTATGTGGGGCCGGTGCTCTACTGACTGAGCCACAGGTGCTGCCCTATTTTATGTTTTTTAGTTTGTTTCTCAACACATTGACTTAGTTATAATTAATTCTAAAATATTTAAACACTTTTTTTCAAATTACCAAAAATATTCATTCACTTGGCTAAAATTAAGAGACATATTTTCAATGTTGGGTTCATTAGAAATCCATACTTTTCTGAAAAAATATTTGTCTTTAAATGGCACAATGTCAATTTGTCTACTTCTCTGTAACTAATACAGAGACTATAGTCCTTAAAACGTAACTAGAAGAAAAACAAACCAAAATATAATACTAGATTCCTTTTCTTTTTGCTTCCAATTTCCCTAGTTAACATGATGTTGCAGCAATAGCATACTGGCAGCAGCACAAAGAACTGACTGCTTTTGGATACTACTAAATTAATCTTTCACCTAAGGAAAATTACTGGTTTCCTGGCCAGTGTTTATTTTAAAGGCAAAAGCCGTGAAAGCAGTAAAGAGTTAATGTGAGTTAATAAGCATTAGGGAAGATTCACCCAGGAATGAGAAATGATAAACCACGAAATGAAATCCCTACAAATGCTTCATTACCCTTCTTCAAGGTGTTTAATTTTTTTTCCACTACAAGACAATGTCTCTACAGATAGTCCTACTAATTATTCTACAACTGTAACTTATTAATGAAATTCTAACAATAAAAATTTAGTTCAAATTAAGTCATTATGACAATCATTTTAGACTAAGAACGTTAATTAATCCAAGAAACGTCTCTAGTGGAATTGGAAAATATCAAATTAAAAATCTTATAAAAAGCCAACAAGAATAGCTAAGGTGTCTCAAAATAATTTGTGTAATAGTTATAATAGTAAAATACATTTTCAAGTTCATCTACCTGTTCTTGCCACATATTGGTTATTTTAACAGAATGACTAAGTAGAAAAAAATCAGTTTAAGTGCAACAGCTGAAAAAAGAGCAAGAGATACTGTCTGGGGAAAAGTTTCCTTCTAATCATATTTTCACTTATGGTGCACAACTGTTGCTTTACAGTATTATTAGGACGAAAACTAGTATCTTTCACAAAATCATAACATCTTTACTAACTTTAACTTTCCTTTTCATTGTCTAAAATAGAGCAGTTCCAGTAATTCACAGATGCCTAATTTATTTCTTCTATTTAGAAAGCAAAAAATTGTTTTAAGGCTAGCATGAAACAAAGTTTATTGAGGAAGAGAAAGACAGACTTACAGAGTAAGAAAGATTATGAAGTAGGATAAATCAGCCATAGACCATGAACTAGCCTCCATTGCCAGGGCAAGTAGGCAAAGAGATCAGAAAGCAAATTGATCCATATCTAATATAGATTTACAAAGAAATAAAAAGATCACTTTTGTATCTGACAAAGTTGAACAAAAGTTTGTGTTTACTTCATCACATATAAAACTTCTAATTGTCGAGATCACTTAAGCACCTAGATACATTCCAATAAATAGAATACATAAACACTTAATTTTTTTTTTTCAGACAGTCTCACCCCGGACAGAGTGCTAAGGCATCATAGCTTACAGCAACCTCAGTCTCTTAGGTTCAAGCAATCCTCTTGCCACAGCCTCACCCAGTAGCTGGGACTACAAGTGCCTACCACAATGCCTGGCTATTTTTTTTTTTTTTGAGACAGAGCCTCAAGCTATCCCCCTGGGGGATAGCTGTGAGTGCCGTGGCATCACAGCTCACAGCAACCTCCAATTCCTGGGTTCAAGCAAGTCTCCTGCCTCAGCCTCCCAAGTAGCTGGGACCACAGACACCCGTCACAATGCTGGCTATTTTTTGGTTGAAGCCGTCGTTGTTTTGGCGGGCCTGGGCTGGATTTAAACCTTAGGTGTATGTGGCTGATGCCTTAGCCACTTGAGCCACAGGCGCCAAGCCATGCCTGGCTATTCTTAGAGATAGGATCTTGTTCTTGATTAAGCTGGTCTTGAACTCCTGAGTTTAGGCAATACACCTACCTCGGCCTCCCAGGGTGCTAAGATTACAGGCATGAGCTACCATGTCCTGCATATTTAAATATTTTTAACCAGCCTGAGCAACAGTGAGATCCTGTCTCTACTAAAAATAGAAAAATTAGCTGGCCATTGCGGTGGGCACCTGTAGTCCCAGGTACTCAGGAGACTAAAGCAAGAGGATCACTTGAGCTTGGGAAATTGAGTTTGAGATTCCTGTAAACTATGACAACCATGGCAATTGACTCAGGGTGACAGAGACTCTGTCTCAAAAATAAATAAATAATTTTTTTTCTTTTTTATTGAATGGTAACTATGTACATTAATGCACTTCTGGGGTACAGTGTGGGGTTTTCACATGCAATCTGAAATACTTCCATCAAACTGGATAAATAAATATTTTTAAAACTACTATTTCTGAACCTAATCCCCAAGGAATATTAATGCTCTTTGCTCCACACACATCAGTTCTTTCCGCATCATAACTATACATAATTCTACCTTCTGCCCTAATCTCTCCTGATACTGTGCTCCATCTCTAAAAGTCTATTGGTCATCTCTATTTAAATGTGCTCCTGTCAACTTAAATTCAACACTTCTAAAATTGAAGTAGTATCCAAACCATGAAAGTCTTTCATATTTCCATTAATTGTAGAAATCAGTGAACCTCTGACTCCTGCCTCTCCATATCCTCTTATACTCTTCCAAGTCTTCTTTTGCAATATATCATATTCTAATTTTGCCTTGTATTCATATTGCTACATTCTAGCAAGGGACCTCAAGACCCCAGGATTCCTGAATCAAACTCAAAACAGGCCTATTTTAATTCTCTCAATTCTCCAATCTATTTTACCTAATAGTGCTAGATTAATATTTAGAGTTTCTTTACACTGAATTCAAAACCTTCATTGACTTTCTATCTCTTATCAAAAAACAAGTTTTGACTTAACCTAAAAGACTTTAAAATCTACCTCTACTTTACTGTTTTAATCTCACCTCTTTCTAATTCACCAAAAACTCTATAGAACAATGTCTCTGCTCCGTCTTTCCACTCCGTTCTTTGTACTGTGCACTTGTACTGAGCACTTGAGGCTCTCAGAGCTTATGTGGTTCCTCTAATCTGGAACTCAACAGTTTCTCTATCTAAATCGTACACATTCTTTAAAGCCAAATTCATGTTTCACTTCCTCCAAGAAATTTTCCCTGCCCAACAGAACTTTGTGTCAATCACTAAGCATTAGTTATGAACCACTTTTTACTCAGTTTTTTTTTTTTTTTTTGAGACAGAGCCTCAAGCTATCCTCCTGGGTAGAGTGTCGTGGCATCACAGCTCACAGCAACCTCCAACTCCTGGGCTCAAGCAAGTCTCCTGCCTCTGCCTCCAAGTAGCTAGGACCACAGGCGCCCGCCACAACGCCTGGCTATTTTTTGTTGTTGTTGCATCCATCATTGCTGTTTGGTGGGCTGGGTTGGATTCAAACCCGCCACCTTAGGGCTTGTGGCTGGCACCTTAACCACTTGAGCCACAGGTGCCGAGCCTATTCAGTATTTTTATATACCCTCCTGGTTCTATGAAGTTCTTAAGAGCAGGAACTGTCCTTTACCTCCTTATAGTCTTAACATCTAGCGCAAAGCCTTGTACAAAGCAGACATTTTTCTTAAGTATTATATTTGAATACTTCTGAATTATTTCACAGGAGTGGCTTAGCTTTTGTTACATCATACAACAAAACATACATCTTTATCATTATAAGATTACAAAATGTAGACAATGCCTTATTTTTCTATTATGTTTCTTAGTACATAGGTTAACTGATTTTTTTTTTTTTTTTGAGAGAGTCCCACTTTATTACCCTGGGTAGAGTGCTGTGGCATCACAGCTCACAGCAACCTCCAACTACCCCGCCTAGGCGATTCTCTTGCCTCAGCCTTCGGAGTGGCTGGGATTACAGGCACAATACCCAGCTATTTTTGTTGCAGTTTGGCTGGCTGCAGGTTCAAACCCGCCACCCTGGGTATATGAGGCTGGCGCCCCACTCACTGAGCCACAGGCGCCACCCTCTGAAATTTTTTTATAGAATTTTTCATTCCATAAAAAATTTTCTTTTGACTTACAGAGCAATTAAGGCAAAAGAAGCAAACCTTTAGAAACTTTATTTCTCTTGTTGCAATTTTGTTGACAGACTTTTCTGGTTTCTCATAAAATATCTTAATGGCCACTATCTGTCCCGTTTCCTTGTGTTTACATTTCATGACTGTTCCGTAACTTCCCTCTCCCACTTTTCCAAGGGTTTCGTACATCTCCATGTTCAAGCTGGATTTCCACTCCTTCATAGAAATAAAGAAGATGATAACTGTTAAACATTTATACTCTCATTAATTCAAGCTGGATAAAGCATATCCACAACAAACCCGTACTTTCAAATATAGAGAAATAGAAAAAACGGGAATTTTCCCACAGAGCTTTCTCTGTCAACTGTGCCAACTGGGCAGGAAGGTGTCCCTGTGAGGCTTCCAACCTTGGAGAGAACTGAGGGGTATTCCTGCTAGCTCGTCCTTCCCATGAATAGCGAGATCCCTCCCTACACGTCACCATCCACCAAGCGAGGGGTCCTCACGCATCCTGCGGTGCTCCGGGCAAATCAGAAGTCCCGGCACCACCGCGGCAGCCCACCTAACCGGCTTTCCCGGGAAAGCCACGGTCCCGCCCTCTCCTCAAACCGGACGTCTCGGGATCCCTCGCCCAGCAGTCGACGCCTCAGCCCATTCTGTAGTCCCGCAGGCCTGGTCCTGGCGCGCTCCCTGCCCAGCAACCGGACACCGGCCCTGCCAGCTCCCGGCCGGCCGCTGCCATGGAAACGGGGCGGTGGGAGGAGGAGGCTGCGCTCGAGCACTGGAGGGCAAGACCGGAACTTCGGCAGGGTTCCGACCCGGAAGAGAACGCGAGACCAGGGAGGGAAAGAGCGCTTGGGGTGAGAGAGGGGAGAACAGCTGCTGTCGCAGTTGAGTCTCCTCACAAGCTTGGCTCTGCATGGGGATAGGGAGCATCCGCATATTGACTGCAGCCCGAGTGACAAAATCGTTAGGGAAGGAAAACCGGGTGGAAGCCTGTTCTGCGTTCGTGTTATGTTGCCAGGGTGGAGAACACCAGCCACTTGTACTGAGTCCTAGAATGCTAGCAGATACCATTAAACAGAGACAAGTTATAAAGCCAGACTTCCAAGGAAGACTTGTGCGATTACAGTTTTCTAAATTACCTGGCTAAGTTAACATCCCTAGATATAAGTTTGATCTCAGCAGTCGACATTCGTTCTTAAAATGGGGATGAGAGGGTTCTCAAGAACTTTTTCATGAACACCTGCTATATACCTTTTAAATTTTTTCAACTCCAAATTTTTTATTGTTGGAGATTCATTGAGGGTACAAAGAACTAGATTACACTGATTGCATTTGTTAGGTAAAGTCCCTCTTATAACTGTGCCCGTCCCCAAGAGGTGTGTCATACCCCGTGACCCCCCCACCCCTCCCTCCTTCCCTCTCCCTGCACCCCCTTCCCCCACCCCCCACCGTGTCGTCAATTGTCCTCACTTCAGAATTAAGTAAATAGGATTCTTGTTTCTTCATTCTTGTGATGCTTTACTAACAATGTGTTCCACTTCCATCCAGCTTAATATAAAAGATGTAAAGTCTCCATCTAACTCCAAATATTTTTTTAAACATCCTTGCTGCCTCTCAAAACTCTGTATCAGTTAAAGGATTCTGCCACATACGGAGTGATGTGAAAGGGCGCAGAAAGAGGAGAGAACAGTTGTCTAACTGAATAAATAGACAGTGTTCAACTAGAATGACAGCCTCTAATCAAGGATATCATTAGAGGAAGTGTCCATGGAATGCCATTTTTACTGGGGCTTAATTTCTTTTTTTTCTGTAAAATTAGTTAAATATAAAAGACCAAAGAGTTGTCTTTCCTTTTGAAAAGTTACTCAACCACACTATGAGGTACTGTCTATAAATAAGAATGTTATAATAAATCGTATAGTGGGCTCAAGACTTGCTGTAAGCATGTTTTTTAAATATTTGTTTGGGTTACATATTTTTAAGAGAGAATGCATAAACCAGACTGAGCCCTTACCCTCAGTAAGCTTACAATCCCAGAGCTACAGAATTGCTACAGTATACAGTTAAAGAACTTTAAAACTAAAGCTTTTTCTACAAATTGGTTATGATAGGCCCAGTGGCTAGGAGACTAGTGATTCTTGCCTAGTACCCTGCTTTGAGACTTCAGGAAGCACATCCACTGAATTAGCCAAAATATTTCATTTGGGGCCGGGCATGCGTATAATCCTAACACTCTGGGAGGCTAAGGCAGGTGCATTGCTTGAGCACAGAAGTTCAAGGCCAGCCTGAGCAAGAGCAAGACCCCCATCTCTACTAAAAATAGGGGGGAAAATCATTTTGCAAAATCATAAACTGTCAGTTTCCAAAACAATTATACATTGCTAGATAAATTACGTAGGACAGATTTTTTAAAATGTTAGTTTCTGTTTAACATGTAACCCCACACATAGGTCTTTCTATGGGGAGGATTAGGATTGCTATGGCAGAAAGGCAAAACAATAAAAAAAATTCAACTTTGATGTAGATTATCATTGTGAACGCACAGCAAGACCTATCAAAAGTTAGGCCTGGCAGGGTGGCGCCTGTGGCTCAGTGAGTAGGATGCCAGCCCCATATACCAAGGGTGGTGGGTTCGAACTTGCCCCGGCCAAACTGCAATAAAAAAATAAACGGGCGTTGTGGCAGGCGCCTGTAGTCCCAGCTATTCGGGAGGCTGAGGCAAGAGAATCGCCTAAGCCCAAGAGCTGGAGGTTGCTGTGAGCTGTGACGTCACTGCATTCTCCCGAGGGCCACAGAGACTCTATCTCTAAAAAAAAAAAAGAAAAAGAAAAAAGTTAGGCCTGGCAAACTTGATCCCCACAGCAGTCATGTAAAGGCAAGAAATGAATTTGAAGAAAGGGAGGTATAAAGAAAGCAAGAAAGGTTAAACCTTTCTGCTTCTATGGAACCAAAGGCAAGCTTGGTGCAATGGCAAAATCATTATTCCACCTTCCCTTTTCCTATTGAGCTAAAGAATTTCCCAAATGGATGCAAAATTGCTCAGTAGCCTCCTGACCAACAAAGTCCTGAAGTTGTGAATAGGAGGCCACAGAATGAAGGAATCCAGCGATCAGGATACATGTTAAGGGTGGGTGATGTCAACTCCTCTTAAGCTGAGTGCTCTGGTAGGAGGGCACTTCTAGCCTATTTGCACCTAACTTGGTAGGTAGAAAACACGAGTTATCTCATGCTAGATATATAACTCCCACCATTGTCTTCACAATCTCTCTCCCTAGATCTGAATCATACTTGTAGGTTTCGTGACCACTCACTGATAATGCTCTCAAGCTCATCCCATTTCTTCACAGATACAAAGGATTTGCCGCCCATTGGCAAATCCACGGACACACATCTTTTTCAAATGAAAGCAGACCCATAAAAGAAAAATAAGTTCATCAATTCCGTGGACTTTAAACAAGTCCCGGACAATCTGTACACTATTATTATATCTTTGCTCAGAATTTCCAATCCTGGAAACCCCACTGCAAAGCAGAAAAGCCATTTGGTGGCCCTAAGAAAGCATTTCAGATTTAACTTCGGATGGCCCTCAGCATTCAATGCTGCATTAAATGAAAGCGAACTTTTCACTCTTCCTCCCTGCCCCACGTACCAGTTGGCAAGCCAGCCAGAAAGGAGTCAAGTCCAAATTATTTGGAGTTCCGTTTTAAAGAAAGCAAAAGCAAAACAAGCTGTTACTCTGCCACGAGGGAACAACTAATAAAGGGGTGTCACGCCCTCAAACCCGGAAACTTAACCACCGGATTCACAAACCCGACTGAAACTCAGACCCAGGCGACGCTCTCACCTGACCCATTCTAATCGCGTCATAGGGACACGTGGTTCTAGATACTTCGCCCCCTCCCCCTCAGGGGTGGATTGTTGACAACGCCGCCGGCAGTCACGTGACCTTACGTCATCCCACCTCCTTTCCCTGAAATCTCTGGCCCCGGATGCGTCCCTCCCCCCCCCTTTCCGCCGATCTTAAACTAGCGATGGGGAGGGAGATTTGATAGTGTTTCAGTTTCGGTGTTTCTTAAGCCACAGTCTCTACTCTGAGCACAAAGAACCCTAATTTGTCGATCACTTCAGGAAGGCAGAATGCAAACGGACCTTGCCGAAAACCTCAAGGAACAAGCACTCATACACCCATCCCTTCTCCTTCACCCCCTGGCTATGTGGTACCGGCTGAGGGCGGAGGGATCTGGAGGCGGCGGAGGGAGACGTCATTGCAGGGTTGTTTGTGCAGTCTCGGCGGCGGTGGTGACCCACAGTGATTCGGCCGCTGCGCCGGGGGGTGGGGGGGCTGCGCGGGACTCTTTTCTTTCAGACTGACCGCGGGGCAGCTGGGGAGCATGTCGACCCCGGCCCGGAGGAGGCTCATGCGGGATTTCAAGCGGTAAGGGCCTTCACCTTCGCCTGGATGACGACTCCTCCCCAAAGCTGCGGGGCTGCAGGGCGGGGATCCGGACACCCTCCCCTTATAACTCTGAGAGGGCCGGCTGCGGGCCCAGCGGGACGGACGGAAGCCCATTCTTATACTTGGCTTCCAGTTCCTCATCCTTGCTGCCCACTGTGGCAGCCCAAGAAATTTCGGTACACCTCCTCCCCCACTCCCCCTAGAAAGTAAAAAGGTGGCGATCGGCTGGCCTAGGGTTCCCTGCTGTCCATTTCGGCCACCTGCCCGACGTCTCCCTAAGCGATCAAACATCCTGCCCTTGCCCCTGCACCCTCCAGCGCCCCCTTCTTGTCCCATACAAGTGAGCCCTTCCAGATTTTTCTCGTCTGCTGCACCAGTCAGCTTTGTTCCCCGGCCTCGCAGTCTCCTCTGAGGATCAGGGTTGGGGCGAAAAGCGCCCCACCTTCTTTTCTGCAGTGAGGGTGGGGTCTACTGCGCGAGGTCCGGGGGTTGTTAACCCATCCCCCGAAACCTGACTCTGCCCCCGCCTGCCTGAAAGACCTTGAGAACCGACTTAGAGCTCTGGGACCTTAGAGCTGGCCACTCTGGCTGCCAGTGCCTTCTGGAACTCAGCTCTGGCTGGTGAATAAAGCCCTATCTATAGCCTCCAAAGTCTGGAAAAATGCCTTTCCTTAGACTGACGCTAACCTGATACTCCCTGCGCCGCCTCTTGTAAAATAGGATTTGTCAGGAGGTTTGGATTTGTGAAGAGAGAAGGACTGTCTTTCAGTTTATTTTGTAGTGAATACTTACAGGTACCACGTACATTGAAAAAGGAGTGAGAAAACTTAGCATTACGATACTTTGCAATTTGGGGGGAGGATTCCTGAGGAGATCTGCTTTGAGACAAAACATTTAGTACAAAGAGTTAGATTTGCCGCTTATGAAGTGAACGTTTAATCACGGCCATTTAGCTTTATTTTCTGTGAAGCACTGGAAGGCTATTGTTTGGGGCTTTGGCCAGCTTATTTAATTCATTCCTAGCTTCTCTTAGCCTATTAAAGGTAGTTGTCAAACAGCATCGAAGTCTTCTGGTTATGGTGGCCTAATTTGCTTGAGATTGACTAAAAAGAACTATTTTTATGTAGATTAGTAGCAAAGTATTATGCCACACGAAAGTGACTACATAAATATTTGTGTGTATGTACAGTGTAGCATTTTTAAGATGGAGGTGGCAGTCTTTAAAAGGAGATGGTCTATTTAGTGGAA